TTTTATCAGAAATGAGAATTGCAACTCCTGCTTTTTTTTGCTTTCCATTAGCTTGGTAAATCTTCCTCCATCCCTTTATTTTGAGCCTTTGTGTATCCTTGCATGTGAGATGGGTTTCCTGGATACAGCACACTGATGGGTTTTGGATTTTTGTCCAATTTGCCAGTCTGTGTCTTTTGATTGGTGCATTTAGTCCATTTACATTTAGGGTTAATATTGTTATGTGTGAATTTGATACTGCCATTTTGATGCTAAGTGGCTGTTTTGCCTGTTAGTTGTTGTAGATTCTTCATTATGTTGAAGCTCTTTAGCATTCAGTGTGATTTTGGAATGGCTGGTACTGGTTGATCCTTTCTATGTATAGTGCCTCTTTTAGGAGCTCTTGTAAAGCAGGCCTGGTGGTGACAAAATCTCTGAGTACTTGCTTGTTCGCAAAGGATTTTATTTTTCCTTCACTTCTGAAGCTCAGTTTGGCTGGACATGAAATTCTGGGTTGAAAGTTCTTTTCTTTAAGGATGTTGAATATTGGCCCCCACTCTCTTCTGGCTTGTAGTGTTTCTGCCGAGAGATCTGCTGTGAGTCTGATGGGCTTCCCTTTGTGGGTGACCCGACCTTTCTCTCTGGCTGCCCTTAGTATTCTCTCCTTTATTTCAACCCTGTTGAATCTGAAGGTTATGTGCCTTGGGGTTGCTCTTCTTGCGGAATATCTTTGTGGTGTTCTCTGTATTTCCTGCAATTGAGTGTTGGCCTGTCTTGCTAGGTGGGGGAAATTTTCCTGGATGATGTCTTGAAGAGTATTTTCCAGCTTGGATTCATTCTCTTCGTCCCCTTCTGGTACACCTATCAAACGTAGGTTAGGTGTTTTCACATAGTCCCACATTTCTTGGAGACTTTGTTCATTCCTTTTTGCGCTTTTTTCTCTAATCTTGGTTTGTCGTTTTATTTCATGGAGTTGGTCTTCGACTTCAGATATTCTTTCTTCTGCTTGGTCAATTCGGCTATTGAAACTTGTGTTTGCTTTGCGAAGTTCTCGTATTGTGTTTTTCAGCTCCTTTAATTCATTCATATTCCTCTCTAAGTTATCCATTCTTGTTATCGTTTCCTCGAATCTTTTTTCAAATCTGTTTTCAAGGTTCTTAGTTTCTTTGCATTGATTTAATACATGATCTTTTAGCTCACAAAAGTTTCTCATTATCCATCTTCTGAAGTCTAATTCCGTCATTTCGTCGCAGTCATTCTCCGTCCAGCTTTGTTCCCTTGCTGGTGAGGAGTTTTGGTCCTTTCTAGGAGGCGAGGTGTTCTGGTTTCGGGTGTTTTCCTCCTTTTTGCGCTGGTTTCTTCCCATCTTTGTGGATTTGTCCGCTGGTCGTCTGCGTAGTTTCTGACTTTTCGATTGGGTCTCTGAGTGGACACCCAGAATGTTGATGATGAAGTATTTCTGTTGCTTGGTTTTCCTTCTACCAGTCTAGCCCCTTCGCTGTACGACTGCTGAGGTCCGCTCCAGACCCTGCTTGTCTGGGGTGCACCTCTAGCAGCTGTGGCACAGCGAGGGATGCTACCAGTTTCTTTTTCTGCTATCTTTGTCCCAGGATGATGCCTGCCTAATGTCAGTCTTTTGGATATAGAGGGGTCAGGTAGCTGCTTGAGGAGACAGTTTGTACTTTATATGGGCTTAATTGCTGAGCTGTGAGCTCTGTTGTTCATTCAGGGCTGTTAGGCTGCTATGTTTGATTCTGCTGCAACAGCGCTCATTAAAAAACCCCCTTTTTTTTTTCTCAAATGCTCTGTGTTGAGGGGTTTGGGCTTTATTTTTGGATGTTTGATGAGGTGTCCTGCCCAGCTAGAAGGCAGACTAGCCACTGTTTGGCTGCCGAGGCTCCGCCCTGCTGTTGTGTGATTCGCCCTGTTCCTGCAGGCTCTGCTGTGCTCTCCGCCACGACCTGCGGCGGAGTCTCTTCGTTGTAGCGTGTTGCCTCAGGAAGGGCAGGCTGCGTCAGCAGTGGGCGTGTATCTCAGTAGCGACGGGTTGCCTCGGCAACGGCTGGCTGCGTCAGCAGTGGGCGTGTATCTCAGTTGGGGCGGGTTGCCTCGGTAGTGGTGGACGGCCCTCCCCCACAGAGCGTCTTGGACCGTCTGCTCGGGATAGTTTGAAATCGCGGTTTTGTTCGTCCCACTTGGTATCCCAAACGATCTGTTCCTGCAATCCCCTGGGCTGGCCTACTGTCCAAGTCTCATTCAGTCTCAAGTCCAGCCCTCTCAAGTCTCAGGTTGCCGGTTCAACAGGGCACCCGGACAAGCGCGCCCTGTGGGGATTGCTGGGTAGGGCCGGCCACCGCCGCCCCGGCTGCCGGCTTCGCCAGGCAGACCTACTGCCTGGCGTCCCGTGTCTTTTTTATACTTGGGAGTTTCCCCGTTTTGTGGGCAACAACGATCAGTCTGGAAATGCAGCTCTGACTCACCGTTTGCGGATTCAATGCGAGCTCCAATCCTGGGTTGTTCTCACAGCACCATCTTGAGTCCTCCCCCTTTAATTTTTTTTTAAATTTTAAATTTAATTTTATTTTTTGTAGGAGTAACATTTTGCCATATTGCCTAGGCGGGTTTCAAACTCCTGAGCTCAAGCAATTTGCCTGAGTCGGTCTCCCAGAGTGCTGGGATTGCAGATGTTAGCCACCATGCCTGGCCGTATTTATTTTCGAGAGAAAGGTCTTGCTCTGTCACCAGGCTGGAGTGCAGTGGAACAATCATAGCTCATTGCAGCCTCGAATTCCTGGACTCCAGCAATCCCCCCCACCTCGGCCTCCGAAGTAGCTGGGTCTATAGATGCTTAGCACCACTCCCTTGTTTTATTTTTTTATTTTGTTTTTCCCTACTTTCAGGGTGATTTCATCAACATTCTTTTCCAACTTTTCAATTGAATTTTTTATTTCTGCTTTCACGTTTTTAATATCCAATTAACTCCTTATTTTAGGAATGTTTCTTTTTTATAGTATTCCACTCAGTCAGGTTTCACTTTTAAAAAAAACGGGGGCCGGGCCTGGTGGCTCACACCAATAATCTCAGCACTTTGGGAAGCTGAGGCAGGGAAATCACAAAGTCAGGAGTTCAAGACCAACCTCACCAACATGGTGAAACCCTGTCTCTACTAAAAATACAAAAATTGCTTGAACCTGGGAGGCGGAGGTTGCAGTGACCCAAGATGGTGCCATTGCACTCCAGCTTGGGCAACAAGAGTGAAACTCCATCTCAAAAAAACCAAACCAAAACAAAACAGAAACAACTCTAGATATTTCTAGCAGAGAGGGATTTGTTGGAAGGGGTCTGTACTAATGTCAGGAAGGCTGATGAGTCAAAGAGAAGAGGATGCCCAAAGACCAGGCCCACCGCTGCCCTACTGGAAGCACAGCCTGGCCACCATTGCACCGGACTGTACCACCGCCACCGAGCGACGTCAGGATCCCCCACTCAGATCATTGCATCATGCCCAGCTCTGCAGTGTCATTTTGATGTGTCTTAAGTATGGATTTCTTTCTTTCTTTTTTTTTTTTGAGTTGGAGCCTTGCTCTGTCACCCAGGCTGGAGTGCAGTGGCAAGATCTCCAGCTTTTTCGGTTTCCTTTGATAGGAGAGTGGTCCAAATGACCTTTTCTACCATTATTGGAAGTTGAAGTTTGATGTGTCTCTTGCTTTTCTCATACTCATCATTCCTTTAGTATATACTTATTGCCATTAAAATAAAACAAAACTAAATGTATTCAACATAAAAAAAAAAAAAGGAAATCTTTCCTAGAAGTTGTTTCTAGATCGACATCTCATTTGATAGGATTAAGTCAACATGACTTAGTCATGGAAGAATAGAATGAACACAGTCTTAAACTAATTGGATTCATCCTTTGTGGCAGGGCATGTTGAGTTCTCAATGAAATCAGGGTTCTGTCAGTAAGGAAGAAGGAGGGATGGCAATTGCATGGACAACCAACAGTGTTCACTGTATACTTCTTTTCTCCCTTTGACGTCACTTTTACGATTTTGTTTACTACGTACCTGCTGACGTCTCCCGTATCTATCTATATACAGTTATTTTTCTGAGTGCCAGATACCTTGTCATCTGCTCATTGTACATCTGCACTCGAATGTCTTTCTAGTAGCTCAAACAACATGTCTAAAATTTTACTCATCGTTCATCCTGGAATGGAGAAGACTTCCATATTTCTACCAAAAATATGGTTAAGACACTGCCACTCATCCAGTCTCCAGTACCAAGAAACAAGGTCATCTTAGACTACTCCTTCCCCAAATCTACCACACCTAATTCCAAGATCCCTTGATTTTCCAACTAAATATATCTTGCATACATGCTTGGATCTATTAGTTCTTTTTAAATTCTTTTTTATATTTTTTAACATATTTATTTATTTATTTATTTATTCTTTGAGACCGGATTTCACTCTGTTGCCCAGGTTGGGGTGCAGAGGTGTGATCACGGTTCACTGAGGCCTCCATCTCCCAGTCTTAAGTGATCTGCCTACCTCAGCCTCCTGAGTAGCTGGGAGTACAGGTGCGCACCACCATGTCCAGCTAACTTTTTAATTTTATTTTTTGTAAAGACAAGGTCTTACTATGTTGCCCAGGCTGGTTTCAAACTCCTGACATCAAGTAATCCTCCTGCCCTGGTCTTTCAAAGTGCTAGGATTACAGATCTGAGCCACCTTACCTAGCCTATCAGTTGTTTTTAGTGTAGCTCTGTATGTGTGTTTGTATAAAGATAGGAACACATGTGTATGTGTAATGTGAGCTTTAAGTAAACCTGGAAATATTATCATTCTAATCCCATTTATGCATACTGGCAGCTAACAAAGAGGAGAGAAATAATATAAAATCTTGGTTTGGTTTTATAAAGTAACACTAAATACAGTTATTTATGTAAACATTTACCATTCGTCCCTAATTACCAGGCAGTAAAATAATGATAAAGACAATGAATAACTATGAGTCAGAGAATTTTGTTGCAAGCTTCATTCAGTTATGACTGATAACAATGAACTCACTATTGTTGATAATAAGGTAACACTATGGTCAGATCACAATTTTTAGCACCTAGAAGAAACATTGATTACATTCCAGAAAAGAAACTTTTGATAACAGTGGTCTCATGGTCCTCAAAGTTGAGTTCATCTCATTTTAGCTTGTAGGACTTGATTGCAGGTGGAATTGAATTAAATGAGAATGCCCAGGCAAGTTTAAAGGCAAAAGAGTCAAAGATAAGACCAATTATCAGCTCAAAGTAATTAATGTACATTTAGTACATAATTACAGGGCTCGCAAGTACTAGAATTCAGAGTTTCATGACTGTTGAATAAGCACAACTTGGACCAAAATGCCTTGTATTAATAAAATCAAACTTCCTCATCCTGGAAAGCACTTCTGCTATTGTGGAGGATGCAAGGAGCTCCCATAAATATAGTACATTATAATTACCTTAAATATATCTATAAATACATATATAAAAATAATTTAAAAATAACATTTCATGTTTTGCCTTATTCTTGAGGCTGAGCTTCAAGAAGTACTTTACCAAAATGACTTCCCTGATTAGCATAAAAAACTATTGAGGCAGGAAAGCTTAGCTATTATTCCCTCCATTTTGAAAACAATAAAACTGAGGTCCCAGAAACTTATGCTATTTAATTAAGAGTTCATCAGCGACTTAAAAGTAGAAGGCAAACAGCTGAAATGGAATCCTAGGTCTGTGGGTTCTCATTTCAACTGTTATTGTGCATATTTCTTAGTTTTCTTATGCCTTAATTTGCCCATCTGTAATATGGGTAGAGTCTTTTTGGTAGCCACATTCAGTAGCTCTGGTCCTCCTAAGATTATTATAAAGAATAATAATTAAAATGATTGGTACTATGCAAAGTATAGGGTGTTCTTTAAATAACAAACCACATTATATGTTAGTGTTGGTTCCACTAGACATTGCTCCTCTCTTACAAAGAGTGTAAACATTCATTTAGAATCACAAAGGCTCAGCACATGCTCAGCAAATGACTAACAGTAAAGGATTTAGCTTCTTCATGTACATGGTACATATAAACTGTCAGCAGTGCATAAGTCAGTAGACTCCAGAGCTAAGCCTGGTTTTCCAGTATCTGAAAGTCAGTGATAAAGGGTGGCCCCCTTGCCAAGCACACCAAACTGTCTTGCATTGTGGCAATAAGCAAATCTGGATGGGCAACTGATCTGAAGTAGCTCTTAGTTCCTTGAGTTTCCCAGAAGAAGAGGAGGTTGGTCTCATCAGCTGTGATAGTTTTGGGTATTTCAGGCATCTCCTATGCAGAAAAGAAGATAATTCAGTTAGAGAACAAGATTTTAGAAAAAGGACTGAAGCTCAATCCCTTGGCATTTGGCCATCATGAGAAACAGCACTTTAGGACTCTGGCTGTAACATGATGCTATAGGCTCTTCATTTATTTGTTCATTCAGGAAGCATTTATTACATCCTATTAGATGTGTGGCCATGTCTATCAATAAGAGTTGATCTCCTTATTTGATTGGAGAGAGATCTAAATTAGTTATGAAGATTGCCAATGACACTAGTATCTCACTGTATCCAGGCAGGTAGGAGTGAAACATTGTTTCTGTCCTGCCTTCAACACAGGCCTACAGCATTTTGCATTAAATCTGAGCACTGGTGATTCTAAGCCCCCTAAACATTTTGATTTTTAAGTGAACAAATCATACCTTTGGGAAATCAATTTAGTCTTTAGATGACATTTATCTCAGTATTTAAGTCAACAGTTGAAGGTTAAACACACACACACACACAATTCCTAAGTATATCAGTAGCTAAACTCTTGATATACTCTCCTTAGAATGTACTTTTCTTGTGAGTATGAGTAGAATTTAGCAATACTTCTATGGAAAAATAGATTTCAAATTCCAAGTTGAGATGCTTCTTTCCTACTTTTTAAAATCTAAAGCAAGTAAATATACTTTTGAGGTTTCCTTGGGGTTTCTGTGTCAGCAAGGATTTATTTCCCAAAGCTATTCCTCTTCTAGTTTTTCCCTTATCAGTAAATGGTGTTTCTCCTCTTTCTCCTGTTGGTTCTATCTCCAAACTATAACTCAATTCTGTTTCTTTCCCCCTCTTTTCCTTACCCCACCCCCATGACTACTACTAAACCTCCTCATTGGGCTTTCTGCTTTCTCTATTGCCTTCCTTCTGATCTGTTTTCTATTTTAGGCAATATAAGTGAGGTCAGGGCATTTCTCTGTTTGGAATCCATTAATGGCTTTTCATTGTACCTCAAAAGAAATCCAGATGCAAGCTCTGCAAGCACTGTCCCTACATATTTTTTCTCCTTCTCACAATGCCCCAGTTCCAAGAGTGCTTCTTCTGATCCTTGGAACTGTCCTTTACAATCTTGAAGTTGTAGGGCCTGGGTACATTCAGACCACTCTGAATGTTCTACTCCCAAACCCCCAACCATGACCCGCCCCCTCCTGTTGGCAGCTCTCATCTCACAAGGAGTATTGTTCTTACCACTTTGTCTAAACAGCACTCTCCCATTTTATCTTAGCACTCTATTCTTTCTTTCTTTGTTTGTTTTTTTTTTTTTAGCATCTTGCTCTTTTGTTAGTTGTTTGGATTGTCTATTTTCTATATCCTCTAGAAGACCAAGTTCTATGAGACCAGGGATTTTGATGTACCACTGTCTATACAGCTGTTGGCACTATGCCTGAAAAATAAAAGGCTATCAATGAATAATGCTAGCCTTTATTCATTGATATGAATAAGCTACTGCACTACTCTGTGAACGTCACTTGATTCAAGTAGAAAAGCACAGGCAGGCACATAAATTCTAGTTGGGGATAGAAGATCTTGGATTACACACTTACGAATTGAGTCACCTACTTATCAGTACAGAAAACATCTAAGGTTATAGTGTGTGTGTGTGTGTGTGTGTGTTTGTGTGTGTGTTTGAGGGGGAAAGTGGTAGTAGGGATAGGGCTGGGATGAGGAATTATGCTGACATGAATGCAGAGAGAGGGGCACTGAAACAGCAAGGTCCATTTTGGGACTTGGCTCCCAGCCTTTTGCTTTGTGCCCATTGGCAGGTGATTAATTCTCTCTGATCTCAGTTGGCTTCTTTGAGTTCTTGGAGTCAGGCCACATTGCCCTGATGTCTAATATCATGTAGGTCAGATAATAGATGTCAGTAAAGATCAATGGAATAAATGGATGCCCTGGGATGGGAGGTCAACAGGGTCAGGCAAGGAAAGGAAAAAGAAAGAAGAAAGTAATTTATCTCTTATTTACTTTTGCCACCTCTATTATATTTTCTTACAGATCCTGCCTAGGCATGCCTCTGGAGTCAATGGGAGTAGGGTGGGCAGGTGGGGGCTGTGGTAGGAAAGAAAGAGAATGGTGTCATCTTCTTAGGGGTATCTGCCCATTGGGCTTATTTACAAACATATGAGATGTAAATGAGGGTAAGGTGGAGACAAAGGGAAACTGACCTTCAGCAACGCTGGTTGGTTTTCATCTTGGGCACTCACATACAATCGAGTTTTTGAGATTCTTAGAGTCACATAATCTTTGTCATCATCCTTTGATGATATATAAGCATCCATGTCAAATTTCACTGGTGAAGAGAAGAACCAAAAAGGAAGTAAATTCATTGTATTTGTGTAAAATCAAGTGTTGATGTAGATTGTGTGTGCATGATTGTGTGTGTGTGTGTGTGTCTGTGTGTTTGTGTAGTTAGGTCCCCACTTATGGTGTAAATACCTAGAAGTCAGGAATGGAATTCTATACATCTTTGTATTCACAATGTCTGCCACACTCACTGGGCAGGTAACTACCTGGTTAATGTTCTTAGAATTTTCTACATGGAATGAATTCTTGGGGGCTGAATAAGTATTGAATCTCTTATAATTTCATTAGTGGGATAAGCCCCTGTAATTTCTTTTCTTTTCTTTTTGAGACGGAGTCTCTCTCTGTTACCCAGGCTGGAGTGCAAAGGCGCGATCTCGGCTCACTGCAACCTCCGCCTCCCAGGTTCAAGCAATTCTCTTGCCTCAGCCTCCTGAGTAGCTGGGATTACAGGTGCATGCCACCACGCCCCGCTAATTTTTGTATTAGAGACGGGGTTTCAACATCTTGGCCAGGCTGGTCTTGAACTCCTGATCCACCCGCCTCGGCCTCCCAAAGTGCTGGGATTACAGGCGTGAGCCACTGCGCCCGGCCAAGACCTTGTAATTTTTTAGATCATGAGTTTATAATGACCTAACATGTACCATATGTTCCTAAACCCTGACCTAACATGGAGGAGTTTAGGAACATATGACACACTCATATGTTGCTAGTGATACTGAAAAGTAATTCAGTTTTTGCTAAGAGAACAAAGCTTAATAAGAACTGTCAAATTATTTATGCCCATTAATCTAGGCATTCCACTTTCGGATATGCTCCAATGAAATCACCAGATAGGAGAAAAAACAATAATACATACAAAGATATTTGCAAACAAGCTATTTAGAGTAAACCCAAGGGACCAACAACATAGCAGCATGAATGAATTGTCTAGTGCCATTAAAAATGGCAAATACATATATGATGTCAATGTTGGGAAAACTGTGGAAATAATATTGAGTAGGAAAATAGAACACAAAATAATTTGTAAATGTAGAGTTGAAAGCCAACTCTACATTTGTAGAATTGTAGTGTGTTAGCTAAAGTGCATCCAATCAGAAAAAGTCTTGCTTGTTTATTGCAAAGTTGCCTCTCTGGACCTTTGAAAATATGTATACTGTTGATATGTCCTGATAATAAAACATGTCTGCCATGAAAATTGCATGTGTCTGATAAACGGTTTTGGACACTAAATTTCATCCTTTAGGCCATATTTGTAGGTTATTGGCAGTTTTGCCTCATGAGTATGTTATCAGAGATAATAAAGACCTTCCTAGTTTGGTGTCACTTGTGACGTTGATCAATAGACTTTTTAAAGGAGAGCAGTGTTCTTCATTGGCTTCTGGGTAAATCTAAGAAAGTCATTTAATGTGTCTGATAGTCAGTTTCCTCAGTTTTAAAACTGGGGGTAAGAATATCTGAAAGAACAAAGGAGGTAGAGTACATCAGCAAGCTTTGTGCATGACTCTGTGCTCTCAAAGATAGGAAACTTCTCCCTTGTGGAACTTTCAGATTTAGTTGAAACTTCTGCCCTGGCGTGGAATTTTTACAGGGTCACTGTGCTTCAAGCTATTCTAGAATAATTGTGCAACCCAGGACTCTGAAGAGGTGTGTTTTTTGCAAGCAGAAATATTGAAATAAATAAGTAAGTAAATGAAAGGAGGGGAAGATGACAGAAATGTCTAGTGCTATTTTAATATACCTGCTTCATCCAGATTTTGTAATGCAGTAGTCATGAGGTGCTGATCGTTGGTTTGAATTACACTTTGATGATTGAGGGCGACATTCAGGATGAACTGGTGTTTCCTGGTCTTATTAAAGTTGTATTTTGCATTGCTCAGGAAGCTGAAAGGTGCTGACCTGGGCTTGATGATTTCTAAAACCATGATCACAAGTTCTGATTAATGTCTATGTACAAACACAGATGATATGCACACTCTAGTACAAGCAGGGAAAATAGTTCTGGAGGGGACATTAGGAATATTCCAATCCAGATGAGGAAGCAGAGAGAAGTAAAATCACCCAGTCAGCAGCAGAATTCGTTTTTTAGGATTATCCTTATTGTTACTTTGTGCTTCTTTTTAAACTTCAATTCCTCGGGCAATAGTTTTGTTGTTTTTAAAAAAGACTATTTGTGCAACTTTCTCATTTTTCATTGTTTGGGTGTTTCTAACTGATCAGGAAAACTACCAGTATTTCCCATCTATGTTTTCAAGTGAATACACTCTAAGAAAAAAAGAATGCATTAAAAATCATTATATATGTACTGAGAGTAAAGATCCACCACCATTCTGCAAAGTGGCACATATAAATAGCATCACAAATCCTCATGGCACTGGGAAATTCTGCTTCTAGAAATATATTCTAAGGAAATAAAGGGTGAGAGAAATGAATATTTATACAGATGTTCATTGTTGCATTGCTTATAATGGTGAAAAATGGGCACCCTAAAATCTTGATACATTGTTGAGTAAGAAAAGCTGGATATAAAGTTGTAAATAGTGTGATCTTAATAATATTAGACATATTTGTTCACATGTGGGTATTTGTATAGAGGAGACTTTAAGGAAGCAGTGCTGGCAGTAGTAAACTCTCAGTGGCAATATGAGTGATTTTTATTTTTTTGTATTTTGTTACATTTTAAAACCTTCTAGGTGAACGTGTATTATTGCTTAAGTATTATCTTAAAAACAGGAATATTGGTTTTATAGTTCATGTAGAGGCTTCTATAGTAAAGGCATGAAAGAGAAGCCAAGATTTTTATACTCAGGTAAAACTGAATTAGATTTGAGGCTCTCTCACTTACAGATGTGTGCCGTTGAGCTGTTTACCTATCTCAATGAGCTTAATTCCCTTTCAGGTAAAATAAGAAGGTAGGATTCTTGTGAGGTTTAGACATAATCCAGTCATTAATAAATTAGTATTGCTGGTAATATTCATACAGGTAGTAGTAGTAATAATAATCATCGCTAATATTTATTGGGTGCTTACTAGGTACCAGGCATTATTCTAATCCAGAAGTTAGGGAATGTTGACTTATTTCATCTTTTCAACAGTCAGGAGGGCCCAGCTAGCTCAGTCTGTATAGCATGAGACTCTTAATCTTTACAACAATCCAATGAGTGGGGGACTCTGATTATCTCTATTTTACAGTAGAGGAAACTGAATCACAAAAGATTATGTAACATGCTCAAGGAGGCATAGTCACTATGAGAGGAACATAGCTTCTAAGTGGTTTTATTACTGCTTTCTCCTGAAAGGCTGAAAGTCACACAACCTTTACAATATGGACAAGAAATAAGGCTATGAGCAAGTATTCTAGATTCGGGCCACTGCTCATCTCTCCCTCCTAGAGAAGCATAAAAATTAATTTATCTTCTATATAATTACCAGACTGATGCTTGGTTGTTTTATTGTTATTCTGACTCCAGGTTTTATTTTCCCGTGTATTCTATTGTTGCCACTTGCTTAAAACTTGAAAGCAGGATGCAATCCAAGATGGCCAAATGGGAAGAGCTCTGGAGTGCAGTTCCCAGCTACAGCGGTGCAGAGGGTGAGTGCTCACCACATTTCCAAACAAGTTTTCACTGCCCACAGACCAGGCGATTCCTGGGCTGGAAAGCACTGTGGGTTTTCAGCATGGTGGTTTCAGCCGGTGCCGCATCTGCACACAGAAACTCACACAAGTCTGGGCTGCCATTTTGGCTGGTGCCCAGAATACCTGGGGACAGAACCAGCCATTCAACTGAAAGGGAGGGGGCTAAGACAGGGAGCCAGGGGATCTGGCTTGGTGGGTACCACCACCACAAAACAAGCAATCTGAAAAGTTCTGGATTGAGAGTTTTACAACAAGCGTAGCTGGACCCAGGACCATCCAGCTCAGTGGGGGAAAGGGTGCCCCCTACTACCGAGGCAGTCTGCCACAACTGAGGCAGTTCACACAGCAGCTGAGCAGAGCCTGCAGCAGCTCAGCAACGCCTCTGCTGTCAGACAGTGACTAGACTACTCCAGCGGGGCTGAGTATCCATAAAGACAAGGCAGCAGCACAAAAGGGACTTATAAATAAAGCTGACCTTCCTAGGACAGAGCACCTGGGAAAAGAGGCAGTTTTCAGTTCAGCTGCAGCAGATTTACCTGCCCAGCAGCTCTGCGTAGAGCAGTGGAGCTCCCAGCACAGCACTTGAGCTCCTATAAAGGACTGGCTGTCTCCTCAAGCAGCTCCCTGACCCCCATATACCCAAAGAGACACCGCACAAAGGGGAGATCAGGCTGACATCTGGTTGGTACCCATCTGGGATGAGGATAGCAGAGGAAGAAACCTGCGGCAACCCTTGCTATTCTGCAGCCCTCACAGGCGATCCCCAGGTAAGCAGGGTCTGGAGTGGACCTCCAGTGGTTCTGCAGCAGAGGGGCCTGACTGTTAGAAGGAAAACTAAGAAGAAGAAAGAAATAGCTTCAACATCAACAAAAAAGACATCCACTCAGAGACCCCGTCCGAAAGTCACCAACTACAAAGACCACAGGTAGATAAAACCACTAAGATGGGAAGAAACCAGCCCAAAAAGGAGGAAAACACCAAAAACCAGAACGCCTCTCCTCCTCAAAGGGATCACAACTCCTCACCAGCTAGGGATCAAAGATGGATGGAGAATGAATCTGATGAATTGACAGAAACAGGCTTCAGAAAGTGGGTAATAACACACTTCTCAGAGTTAAAAGAACATGTTCTAACCCAATGCTAAAAAACTAAGAACCTAGAGAAAAGGTTAGATGAGATGCTAACTAGGATAAACAGCTTAGAGAAGAATATAAACGACTTGATGGAGCTGAAAAACACTGCACAAGAACTTCGCCAAGCATACACAAGTTTCAGTAGCCAAATTGACCAAGCAGAAGAAAGGATATCAGAGACTGAAGATCAACTCAATGAAATAAAACTAGAAGGCAAGAATAGAGAAAAAAGAGTGAAAAGAAATGATCAAAGCTGCCAAGAAATATGGGATTATGTGAAAAGACCTAATCTACATTTGATAGGTGTACCTGAATGTGACAGAGAGAATGAATCCAAGCTGGAAAACTGAGAACTTCCCCAACCTAGCAAGGAAGGCCAACATTCAAGTCCAGGAAATAGAGAGAACACCACAAAGATATTCCTCAAGAAGAGCAACCCCAAGGCATATAATTGTCAGATTCACCAGGGTTGAAATGAAGGAAAAAATGCTAAGGGCAGCCAGAGAGAAAGGTTGGGTTACCCACAAAGGGAAGTCCATCAGATTCACAGCAGATCTCTCAGCAGAAACTCTACAATCCAGAAGAGAGTGGGGCCAATATTCAACATCCTTAATGAAAAGAACTTTCAACCCAGAATTTTATATCCAGCCAAACTAAGCTTCATAAGTGAAAGAGAAAGAAAATCCTTTATGGACAAGCAATTGCTGAGAGATTTTGTCACCATCAGGCCTGCCTTACAAGAGCTCCTGAAAGAAGCACTAAATAAGGAAAGGAACAACCAGTACTAGCCACTCCAAAAACCTACCAAATGGTAAAGACCACTGATACAATAAAGACAATGTGTTAACTAATGGGCAAAACAACCAGCTAGCATCAAAATGGCAGCTTCAAATTCACACATAACAATATTAACCTTAAATGTAAATGGACTAAATGCCCCAATCAAAAGACACAGAGAGGCAAATTGGATAAAAAGTCAAAACCCGTCGGTGTGCTGTATTCAGGAAACATATCTCACATGCCAGGACACACATAGGCTCAAAATAAAGGGATGGAGGAAGATTTATAAAGAAAATGGAGAGAAAAAAAGCAGGAGTTGCAATCCTGTTCTCTGATAAAATGGACTTTAAACCAACAAAGATCAGAAGAGACAAAAAAGGGCATTACATAATGGTAAAAGGATCAATGCATCAAGAAGAGCGAATGATCCTAAATATATAAACACCCAATACAGGAGCACTCAGGTTCATAAAGCAAGTTCTTAATGACTTACAAAGAGATTTAGACTCCCACACAATAACAGTGGGAGACTTTAACACTCCACTGTCAATATTAGACGGATCAACGAGACAGAAAATTAACAAGGATATCTAGGACTTGAACTCACATCTGGACCAAGCGGACCTAATAGACATCTACAGAAATCTCCACCCTAAATCCATAGGATATGCATTCTTCTCAGCACCACATCGCACCTACTCTAAAATTGACCACATAATTAGAAGTAAATCACTCCTCAGCAAATGCCAAAGAACGGAAATCATAACAAACAGTCTCTCAGACCACAGTGCAATCAAATTAGAACTCAGAATTAAGAAACTAACTCAGAACTGCACAACCTTCTCTTGGAAACTGAACAAGTGGATCCCAAATGTCAACTGGATAAACAATGAAATGAAGGCAGAAATAAAGATGATCTTTGAAACCAATGAGAACGAAGACACAACATACCAGGATCTCTGGGACACATTTAAAGCAGTGTCTAGAGGGAAATTTATAGCAATGAATGCCCACCAGAGAAGCAAGGAAAGATCTAAAATCGGCCCCCATTCATCAAAATTGAAAGAGCTAGAGGAAGAAGATTAAAAAACTCAAAAGCTAGCAGAAGACAAGAAATAACTATGATCAGAGCAGAACTGAAGGAGATAGAGACACAAAAAATCCTTCAAAAAATCAATAAATCCAGGAGCTGGTTTTTGGAAAAGATCGACAAAATAGACAGACCACTATCAGGATTAATAAAAAAGAAAAGGGAGAGGAATCAGATGCAATAAAAAATGATAAAGGGGATATCACCACTGACTCCACAAATTACAATCAGAGATTACTACAAACAACTCTATGCACATAAACCAGTATACATGGAAGAAATGGATAAATTCCTGGACAGTTGCACCCTCCGAAGCCTAAACCAGGAAGAAGTTGAAACCTTCAAATGACCAATAACAAGGGCTGAAGTTGAGGCAGCAATTAATAGCCTACCAACCAAAAAAGTCCAGGTCCAGACAGGTTCACAGCAGCATTCTACCAGACGTACAAAGAGGAGCTGATACCATTCCTTCTGAAACTATTCCAAACAATCCAAAAAGGCAGAATCCTCCCGAAATCATTTTATGAGGCCAACATCATCCTGATACCAAAACCCAGCAGAGACTCAATAAGAAAAGAAAACTTCAGGCCAATATCCATGATGAACATAGATGCAAAAATCTTCAATAAAATACTGGCAAACCGATTGCAACAGCACATCAAAAAGCTTATCCATCATGATCAATTAGCCTTCATTCTGGGGACACAAGGCTGGTTCAACATACACAAGTCTATAAACATAATCCACCACATAAACAGAACCAAAGACAAAAACCACCTGATTATCTCAATAGATGAAGAGAAGGCCTTTGACAAAATTCAACTGCACTTTATGCTAAAAACCCTCAATAAACTCGGTATTGAAGGAACATATCTCAAAATAATAAAAGCTATTTATGACAAACCTACAGCTAATATCATACTGAATGGGCAAAAACTGGAAGCATTCCGTTTGAAATCCAGCACTAGACAAGGATGTCCTCTGTCACCACTCCTATTCAATATAGTATTTGGAAATTCTAGCCAGAGCAATCAGGCAAGAAAAAAAAATAAAGTGTATTCAATTAGGAAAGAAGGAAGTCAAATTATCTCTATTTGCAGATGACATGATTGTATATTTAGAAGACCCCATCATCTCAGCCCAAAATCTCCTTAAACTGATAAGCAACTTCAGCAAAGTCTCAGGATACAAAATCAATGTGCAGAAATCACAAGCATTCCTATACACCAATAACAGACTAACAGAGAGCCAAATCATGAGCAAACTCCCATTTACAATTACTACAAAGAGAATAAAATACTAGGAATACAACTAACAAAGGATGTAAAGGCCCTATTCAAGGAGAACTACAAACCACTGCTCAAGGAAATAAAAGAGGACACAAACAAATGGAGAAACATTCCATGCTCATGGTTAGGAAGAATCAATATCATGGAAATGGCCATGCTGCACAAAGTAATCTATAGATTCAATGCTATCCCCATCAAGCTACCAATGACCTTCTTCACAGATCTGGAAAAAAACACCTTAAACTTCATATGGAACCAAAAGAGAGCCCTCATAGCCAAGACAAACCTAAGCAAAATAAACAAAGTCAGAGGCATCACACCACCTGACTTCAGACCATACTACAAAACTACAGTAATCAAAACAGCATGGTACTGGTATGAAAACAGAGTTATAGACCAATGGAACAGAACAGAGGCCTTGGAGGCAATGCCACACATCTACAACTATCTGATCTTTGACAAACCTGACAAAAACAAGCAATGGGGAAAGGATACCCTGTTTAATAAATGGTGCTGGGAAAACTGGCTAGCAGTGTGCAGAAAGCAGAAACTGGACCCCTTCCTGACACCTGACACTAAAATTAACTCCAGATGGATTAAAGATTTAAAAATAAGACCTAACACCATAAAAACCCTAGAAGAAAACCAAGGCAAAACCATTCAGGACATAGGCATAGGCAAGGATTTCATGACTAAAACACAAAAAGCATTGGCAACAAAAGCCAAAATAGACAAATGAGACCTAATTAAACTCCAGAGCTTCTGTACAGCAAAAGAAACAATGATTAGAGTGAACCGGCAACCAACAGAATGGGAAACAATTTTTGCAATCTACCCATCTGACAAAGAGCTAATATCCAGAATCTACAAAGAACTAAAGCAGATTTACAAGAAAAAAACAAACAAACCAATCCAGAAGTGGGAGAAGGATATGAACGGACACTTTTTAAAAGAAGACATACATGAGGCCAACAAACATATGAAAAAATGCTCATCGTCACTGATTATTAGAGAAATGCAAATCAAAACCACATTGAGATACCACCTCACACCAGTTAGAATGGCGATCATTAAAAAATCTGGAGACAACAGATGCTGGAGAGGATGTGGAGAAATAGGAACACTTTTACACTGCTGGTGGGAGTGTAAATTAGTTCAACCATTGTGGAAGACAGTGTGGCGATTCATCAAGAACCTAGAAATAGAAATTCCATTTGACCCAGCAATCCCATTACTGGGTATATATCCAAAGGATCATAAATTGTTCTTTTATAAGGGCACATGCACACATATAATCATAGTGGCACTGTTTACAATAGCAAAGACCTGGAACTAACCCAAATGCCCATCAACAATAGACTGGACAAGGAAAATGTGGCACATACACACTGTGGAATATTATGCAGCCATAAGAAACGATGAGTTCGTCTCCTTTATAGGTACATGGATGAACCTGGAAACCATCATTCTCAGCAAACTGACACAAGAACAGAAAATCAAACACTGCATGTTCTCACTCACAGGTGGGTGTTGAATGGTGAGAACACCTGGACACAGGAAGGGGAGCATCACACACTGGGGTCTTTTGGTGGGGGCCAAGGGAGGGATGTGGAGGTGGGAGGTCGGGGAGGGATAACATGGGGAGAAATACCAGATGTAGGTGACGGGGGGATGGAGGCAGCAAACCACATTGCTGTGTGTGTACCTATGCAACAATCCTGCATGGTCTGCACATGTACCCCAGAACCTAAAGTACAATAAAATTAAAAATAAAAAAATCCTTGAAAACAAGGATATTATTGTGCTTGACCCCTTACCTTCTTCTATGTCATTGGCGATGCCCTCCAGGTCATCATCAGTGATGGAATGGTTTAAAGTCAACCGTCTCTTCTTCAGAACCTTCCCATTGGTTGACACTATCACCACACTCTCCTTGAAGGTAAGCTTGGATGTCTTAGAGGTTTCAGAGATACTCAGAGACACAGACTGATCCATGCATTCTTCATGGTGTGAGCCATAGTTTACATCATAGAAGGATTTCTATTATGAAGGAAAACAGAAACTGAGAGGCTGTCCATGATCAGGAAAAGAAAGTCTGTTCAACAGGTGCTATATTCAACAGATGTAGCGAGAAGGATCTCCATTCTGGACTTAGGTAACTCGTGTTTCATTGGGCTTCCCTCCTTCTCTCCTCCCTCTCTCCCTTCTGTCTCAGCTTTCTTCCTCCTTTTCTTCCAGGATAAAGAGATGTATGATTTTTAGGAGGACTTTTTTCATTTATTTGCATGCTCAAAAATGAGATGTTGTAACTAAATAGGTTAACAATGATTGTAGTGAGGTGTTAGCTTTCCAATTAGTGCCCTCTCGGGAGGTTAAAAATCTACTTAACAATGCTCAAAATATTTTAGAAATACTCTTTTGGGGACAGCTTTTAAAGCCAGTACTGAAGACATGCAAGGCAGTACTTATGCTATTTGTGGTCTCCAAACACAATAACACAGCTTGGTGAATGGTTATAGATTTCTCACTTTCAATTGGTTGTTTCCTCTCCCTTGGCTTCATGTTTGGAGACTTTCTCTAACCTCCGATGCTGGTGTCAGAGAGGACAACCACAATACATTATGTTAGGAGACAGATCCCTGGTGAAGCAGCCTGTAGGGCCTATCAGGACGGCATAACTAACACCCTGAAGCCAGGATGATGAAGCCAGAAGACTCTAGTTCTTAGGGATTTGGGATAGTTCTTCTCTGTTCTGGGAGAAGCCAATGCACATCAACTATTAGTTTAGAGAAGCAGCTGGTCTCATAACGAAGAAAGGCAGGTCTCTGGACCTCTAGTGAGGGTAAAACAAACGCATCTAAGGTTCAAGCCATTTCTGTTCTCTTTTGATGAAGAAACTACTGTGTAAGAATAGCAGTCCCATGAGAATTACAGTTATTGCTTACCTGATTCAGAGAGAGATGGTCAATGGAGGAACTGTACTCTTCATTTTCACTGTCAAAATAAGATGGTGAGAATGTAATTCTGTTTGTTATGTCACTGTGGTCTCTGGCCAACACATTTTAATGACCATGTTAGCTGTGGGTCACACGCATATACACAGCCATTACTGTCATCTTTGAAATTTAAGGACTTCTATACATACACATAGGTAGAGTAATTCATACCTTACTAATCTGGAATTAGTAGTCATCAAGACAGGCTTTGAGCTTTACCTGTGCTTTATCTATAAAAATGGGACTTGGCTAGCAAATTGAAGAATTTTAATTGAAGTTCATGGAAGAATATTAAGCTCCTTAGAGAAAAGAAGGCTTTTGAAGCACTTTGTTTTTATTTTAACTGAATAGATTATACGTTACACATTGCTTTCATTACACATACTTAATAATTTAAACTTAGTAAAATATCCCAGCAAAATTGAACAGCCTCATTTGTGTTAGTATTTACTACAGATAATGGAAACATCATGTTAGTTTAATATGTTCTGTATTTTTAACTTTGTGATCATTTACCTTTCTTCTATATCTGAGTGAGGTTTGCCTGTGTGCGTTCACATGCCCAGCTTGCTGTGGAGCCATTTCCTGTTCCTGACTGAGATCAAGTTTTCCTGAGAATGGATTCTCTCTCAGTCCAATAAAACCTATTCTTGTATCAGGGCATGTGATCTCAACCGAGGCTGTGTCAAAGTCCATGTTGAAATTCATGTAGGACTCAGTAGCACTCAAAAATAGTTTTTCTAAAATTGCGGTCTCCCTGCCAGTGTAATCTCAGTTTAACATGCTGAATGCTTAGTTTTTCTGGGTCTTTCCTGAACCTGTTCTGACTTCAGGACTAGTACATATCTCTATAGCCTCTGCCGGACTGGCCCCATGCTGGTCACTGTTACGCTTAGCTGGATTCTGGTGGGCCTTGAAACCCTCATTAAATCACAAGAGATGGCCGGGTGCAGTGACTCAAGCCTGTAATCCCAGCACTTTGGGAGGCCGAGGCGGGTGGATCATGAGGACAAGAGATCGAGACCATCTTGGTCAACATGGTGAAACCCCGTCTCTACTAAAAATACAAAAAAATTAGCTGGGCATGGTGGCGTGTGCCTGTAATCCCAGCTACTCAGGAGGCTGAGGCAGGAGAATCGCCTGAACCCAGGAGGCGGAGGTTGCGGTGAGCCGAGATTGAGCCATTGCACTGCAGCCTGGGTAACAAGAGCGAAACTCCGTCTCAAAAAAAAAAAAAAACCCCACAAGAGATAAATCTTATTTCTTACCTGTAACAGTTCTTCAGATCTTCAAACAGGTCTGGAACTTTGGCCATCCTGACTTCTGCAACAGAGAACACCAGCGGCTGTCATCCCAGCCAGCCTCTAAGCAAGACCCCTGTGAGGACAGCCCCTTCTCTTCATGCTTTTTGCAAACTTTGTTGAATGACTTAGTCCATGTTCAACATTTTCTCCATTTTTCTAGCTCCTTTGAATTAGTTTGCTATGTACCTGTCTCCTCTGTTAGATCGTAAACTTCTTTCAGAATGTTTTGTTTATATTGGTATTCCTTAAGTGTCCAACCCAATGTACTGCACAGAACAGGCATTCAATCAATGAAAGTTGAAGTTACAGAAACACCACAAGAATAAGGTATTTGCCTTACACAGAGGTAACAGAGAGACAGAGTTGGAAATGCTCAAATTTCTCCTAATAATTTTGGGTAGTAGAGATTCCCTCCCATGAGAAACCTCATTTGTATTCACTGATGGCCTAACAGGAAGCTAGTTCTGCCGTCGGTCAGTGAAACGAATCAGTCCTTAGCAGTAAAATGAGAGAATCATTTTCTAAAATGTGATTCTAGCTCACACACTAAACCAGGGAGGGACAAACAAAGGAGAGCCTGTAGCTTTAGAGAAGGCAATACAAGAGAAAACAGCCAAGGAGAAAAACAACAACAAAAATACTTTAATAGCCAGAGATATGAGGACAATACCTTTGCTGACTCGAACGCCAATGAAATGACTCCCTCTCTGGCTGGCAGCTTAAGCCTGAGTCAGTCTTCTTCGCCTTTTGTAGGCTCAAGTAGGCGTGGCTACAAAGTGCGTCGTCAAACGGGGGAATTTACGAGGAAGAATTCAGTTTTGTGTTTTTGATACTGGCTAAAATAATGAAAGATGGCATAACTGATATTGTTGTTGTTTGAAGATAATCCAGAAGTTATTGACTTGGTTCATTTGTGTACTGCTTTGCTTTATACAAACATGTAGTCTTAAGGGAAGCACAGGAAACTTATCAAGTTTCTAAGAGGAAGGGAGAAATCCTGAAATCGGAAGTCAAGTGGTTAGATTTGAAGAGGAATTTATTAATAATAATAGTTCTAATAGTAGCTGTAGTTGTGCTCTGGCCGAATTTGTTGATTGTACCCTAGGGTTGAATGTGAATTGGCAGAATACTTGGCGGCTCCTGGCAGCTTTGAAGGGAAAATCAGCCATCTTTTCTGAAGAGGGAAGTTTGCTTGATTAAGGTGTAAATCACCTCAGAGTATGGGGTGACAACTCCTGGTTAGGGCAGGGTAGAGAAGAGAAAGGTGATATTTGACCACAAATAAGTCGTGATCCTCTTACTCCTCTGAATATTGTCAACACATTTCCTACAGAGGGGACAGAGAACTCTTCACCCTGGCCCTGTTACAGTAAAGTAGCCCTCTAACAAAGACCAGAGAGAAGTCTGTTCTTCTCTCGAATATGCCCAAAGTGTGTCTTCTGTAGATATGCCATGGCGTGTGCAGGCCCCAGGAGGTATGGGCAAGGCCCCAGCCGGAAGCCAGTGGCTAAGTTTGGAATGGAGGTTGGGAGAAAGGAAGACATGGATTTTTACATGTGAGACTTCAGTGTTGTTGCCTGGTCACTAGGATTAAAGAATTTCTTCTTTTTTATAATTCCCGTGGCCAGCTTAGTTCAGGTGGCAGAACACCAGACTCTTAGCAAATGAATGTTTTGGGTTCCCAGTTGGAGTTTAAGCCATGTACATTTTAAATAAAGACAATGAACTAGGTGTGGTGGCATGCCCCCCTAGTCCTAGCTATTCAGGAGGCTGAGACAGGATGATCACTTGGGTCAGGGGTTCGAGGCCAGCGTGGGCAACATAGTGAAGCCCCTTTTCTAAAAAATAACAAAGAAACAAGGAAATGGATGGAAGAACAAGGTAGAAGAGAGAAAAAAAAATTAAAGAGAAAGGCAAGGCACTGAAACATGGTACAGAAAAGCAAAAAAGCATGTATCTGGGAGTAAAGTGGCTTGTGTGAGTTGAATAAAGTATTCTCTCTGTTCCTGTTTAACTGTAAATAATGGAGTTGGTTAGATGATCATAAGGTCTATTTCAGGTGCAAAATCTCTTATTCTGATTTAATGCCAGTCTAATTCTCCTGGTCATAGACCTGGTACTTGCAGAAATAACCACACTTGGATGTAAGCAATGGAAGTGTAACACCAGACTCGGTTAGAAGCTTGGGTGTCTCAGGATAAATCCTGAAGAAACAGTGATATCAGCCAGCTGGCTACATTTCTGCTTAAGGAAGAACCTTGGTTCTTCCTTAGGCAACACAGAAATGTTCATCTTGATTACCCCTCTTCTCCTGAGAATCTTGTGAGGGCTATTGCTAAGGAACAATTGCAAAGCACACTGCAAATGTGAGCTGCTATGGAGATGCTACTAAACAAAAATAATAACAACACTAATGATGGCTTCAGTCACTCAAGAACCTGTATAATCATCATTATAATGCCTTAGTTCACCAAAGAAAATAAAGATCTTATGAAAACATTGGCTTGAAAGCTTCAACAGAGATAGCATTTTCAGGTGAAGGCCACCATTGAAGCCTGAAGGTATTTAGCTTCTGGGAGCAAAACATAGCATCTCTTTGGTAATCCAGGAAAACACCCCTGTTCCACCAACATAGGCAATACCCGTCCTGGTCCCATCCTCACTCTTCTATTGTAGAGAATTCCCCAGTGTGGTTGTTTAATTTCTCAAGGAGAACTTTGTTGAGAAACATCCAACTTGGGTTAGAATATCACCCAACCTTTTCCTTCACATGACCTTCTTGGAATTTGATTTTTTTTGGGGGCGGGGGGACAGAGTCTCACTCTGTTGCTAGGCTGGAGTGCAGTAACAAGATCTCGGCTCACTGCAACCTCCGCCTCCTGGTTCAAGTGATTCTCCAGCCTCAGCCTCCCGAGTAGCTAGGACTACAGGTGTGTGCCGCCACACCCAGCTATTTTTTTTATTTTTAGCAGAGATGAGGTTTCACCATGTTGGCCAGGATGGTCTACATCTTCTGACCTCATGACCTGCCCACCTCGGCCTCCTAAAGTGCTGGGATTACAGGCATGAGCCACTGTGCCTGGCTGGAAATTGACTTTTAAAGGAAGACTAGGGTGGGTGAGGTTAAAAAAAAAAGGTGGGCCCTTGCATTGTTTTGGGGAGTCCGCTTTTCTGTGACTGTGAACAAAGATCACTTCTTCTAGAAAAGGGATAGTGGAACGTACTGGGCAGGGCTCTACTGGGTACATAGTGGAACATACTGGGCAGGCCTGTGGTGTGTGTGTTGCGAGCCATCCTGTGACAGGGACTTTGGGTGGCTTCAGGCACCCACCTCTTGGATCTGAGGAGGCCTCAAAAAATCTTTAATGAGTCACTGTCATCTAAATCACTCAGGAAAAAAAAATTATTGTGTACTTATTGTGTGCCATGGATTTTGCTAGGAATCAGTAGTTTTTTCCGATAATCCACAGAATCACATATGCAAGGCGAGATGATCTACATTGGTAGGTGACTGGACAAGTTCTATGAGATTGAAGCTTGTGGGTCCAAAGAACCATGGTGATGCCTTTCATGTGACAATAGCTTTATAGTTTACTTGCATTGTCTCACTGCCTCCTCACTGCACCTGCAAGAGGTAGCTGATACTATCCTCCTTCATAGCTGAGGACCCTTGAAGAGGTTACGTGACCAACCCAAGATCACAAGACTGATGAAACCAGTGCTTGAACTCTGGCTTCTGCTTCCAAGACAAATGTTCTCTTTCCACTGCATAAAGATGCTTGATCTTTTATCACCACCAACACCAAGTTATGGCTGAAAAAGATCATCCTTACGGTCTTTCCCCCTCAAACATGCTATTATTCAGTAACTCTAGGATCCTTGTTAAAAAAAAAAAAAAACTGGTGGGGGTGGGGGAAAAGATTGAAATATCTCCCGTCTCTTTCTTTACCTCCTCTGATGAAATCTGATTTTATTCTGTGATATATAAGACCTGGATGAAGGTGACTGTTGTAATTGGGTACATGGTTAGTGGTGGAATCTGGATGTGAGCTTCAGTCATGGTCTTGCCATTGTTCCAGGAAAACAGGAAATATTTATAAATATACTTGGAAGCAACTTTAAAATTGTTGCATATGGTAGGATCTGACAGAATCACTTGAATGCAGAGAAAAACATAACTTTTTCCTGTGAATTTTCAGGAAAATGCAATTATTTCCTTTCAGGTGATATAAAACCTCTTCAGAGGAATAAAGCGTGCCTAAGCCAAAGCATGCAGAGACAAGTGAGCCTTTAGTTGCAAGTCATGCTCTATTTAGTTACGTGTTTTTAAATTCCATGACAGCTTCAGAGAAGGAGGAAAGGAGTTAACAGCCTACCATGTTCAAGGCATTATAATACATCATCTCACTTAATCCTCTCATCAAACCTGTGAGGCAGATGTCTTATCACATCAGAAGAGGAAGTTAAGGTCTAGAGAGATTAAGCAATCTGTCTAAGGTTGCAAGGTTACCAAGTTTCCTAAATGGGGTCCAGACACTGGGGCATACCTTTCTTCAACCACGAGGATGTCTCTTTTCCTTAATGTAGCCGCTTCCTTTCCTGTGTTCATTAAGTTTTAATTATTCTGCTTTGTCTTAGTCTGTCGAAGGTCCCAGAATTACATGTTAGAGAAGGATGCACATCGGAGCCCGTGTAGATTAATCTCTTACTTTTATAAAAAAGGGAACAGCGTACAAGGAAGTATGGCCCCAGGTCACATGGAGAATTTATATGAGAGTGGGAGGTAATATTAAAACTCAATTTCTTGAATTCTTGTTCAACGTATCCTACTACTTAGGCGCATCAATGAAGAGAGAAATAAATGAAGAAATAATCTCTAATACCTTCTCATCCATAAGTAAAAAGGAGTGGCTGGGTGCGGTGGTTCACGCCTCTAACCCCAGCACTTTGGGAAGCTGAGGCTGGTGGATCACCTGAGTCAGGGGTTCGAGAGCAGCCTGGTCAAGATGATGAAACCCCGTCTCTACTGAAAATACAAAAAATTAGCTGGGCATGGTGGCAGGTGCCTGTAATGTCAGCTACTTGGGAGGCTGAAGCAGGAGAATTGCTTGAACCCAGGAGGTGGAGGTTTCAGTAAGCCTTGTACTCCAGCTTGGGCAACAAGAGTGAAACTCAGTCTCAAAAAAAAAAAAGAGGAGAGTTACAAAGAATGAAACCCTGTTAAGTAAGTAAGTTCAGCCATGATTCCTGCTATCCTGAAAGCTGACAGTGAAGACCTTCATCAATACTTTTCTAAATGAGTAGATAATTACAAACTGAGATAAGCACAGTAAGGGTGTGTGACAGAAGCACATGTCTTAGACTGGAAGTGGGCAGTTCAGTGGAGAGCAAAAAGGGAAAATTCCAGGCTAAGTTCCTGGGGGTCAAAAAGGGTAGAAGTAGGTCATTGAGTTTAGAGCTCAGAGAGAGGAGGGGGAAGGAGTAAGGGGCACAGGGGTGGAGGGTGGGTTGGTGAGATGAGGATGAGGAGGAAAATAACAGCCAGATAGTTATGGCCTTAAGTAGACTTCCTAAGGTCTTTACTCAGAGTTTAACGGGAAGCCATTAAGAGTTGTATGTATTGGTGACACAATCAGCTTTGTGCTTCTAAAGGATCGCCTTGGTGTTTGAAAACAATTTCTAGATTTTAAAGCGGTAGACAAAGGACAGAGATTATAAAGAGAAATGAGAAAGCTACAAAATGCACATGGAAACCAGTCTCGCTGCCTTAACTCAAACTGTGTGACAAAGACAGCAAGTGCTTGGGAAGCCAGAGAGTCAAGGGATGGCTGCAGCTTGGAGGATATGGAGCAATTCAAGTGGGCTAAAATCCGAAGTCCGTGGCAGTAAGGGACAGCTTCACATTCAGTCAGCAAATTTCTTTCTTCTTTTTTTTTTAAAGCAGTAATTTATTGATTGAGAGCCTCCTCTTCCCGCCCTTGCAGTTTCTGGGTCACTTTTTCCACTCATAGATTTTGTGCACAATCCCCAGAAAGATGGCTGGGAGCAGGGGCACTGTGTGTTGTTCAGTGAGACCCATAATGAAGTGTTGCTTAGAAATTTCTAAGTGAGGACATGGCCTGTTTGCTTCTAACAGCCTATACTCAGGGGTAAAGAAATGACTTAAAGTTGGAACCTATATTTAAAATGGAAATAGAGTGTAAAAGTTTGGAAAATGTTCAGCCTGGGCAAGTGGCAGAGAAAGAATCCAAGCAGGCTGCAGAGCAGTCATTGCTAGAAAGATTAGCATGACTAAAAGGGAGCCTAGTGCTAATATCCAAGACAGTAGGAAAAAGGACTTGAGGGCATTTCAGAGATCTATTAAGCAGCCTCTCCAATCACAGATGTGCACAGCCTTGGGACACTGCTGCTACATCTTGGCCACTCTGCTCTGGCTCCAGCCTTGGCTCAAAGGGGCCCATAATAGAGCTTGGGCCACTGCTTCAGAGGGCATAAGCCATAAGCCTTAGTGGCTTCCATGTGGTGTTAAGCCTGCAGGTGTGCAAAAAGCAAGATTGAGGGAGCTTGGGCACTTCCACCTAGATTT